AGAGTAATCTGAGGGATCATTTCACAAACTATATGAATGTCTGACCAATGTGCTGTATACTTGAAACTAATAATAAAATAAAATTTTAAAAAGATATTTAATATTTTTATTTTGTGGCTTAAAAGAAGAATGCTATAGAAACTTAGGTCATTAGAAGAAGCTATTTCAATAAGCCCAATTTTCTTACGTTTAAGCCCAGAATATACGAGGCTGATTATTTTCCATTTTCAGGAACAACGGAGAGTGAATGTGGAAGGAAAAACTGCCCTTGACATGATAAGTCAGTGGAGCTTTTGCAAATGGTGTTCATTTCCAGACGGAGGTGAATTATCTGAATACAACAGAATCAAAACCACCATGAGATACCATCTCACACCTGTTAGAATGGCTATCATCAACAGGACTAGTATAAACAGATGTTGGAGAGGATGTAGAGGAAAAGGAACCTTCATACACTGCTGATGGGACTGCAAATTGGTACAGCCACTAAGAAAGATAGTGTGGAGGTTCCTCAAAAAACTAAGAATTGATCTATCATATGATCCAGCAATCCCTCCACTGGGTATTTACCCCAAAGCCTTGAAAACTCATATTCGAAAAGATATGTGCACACCGATGTTCATAGCGGCATTATTCACAGTGGCCAGGACATGGAAGCAACCGAAGTGTCCTATGATAGATGACTGGCTAAAGAAGCTGTGGTACATACATACAATGGAATATTACTCAGCCATAAGAAAAGATGAAATACTGTCATTTGCAACAACATGGATGGACCTTGAAATTATCATACCAAGCGAAATAAGCCAGACAGAAAAGGTTGAAAATCACATGATATCACATATGTGGGATATAAACCTAAAAGCAACAAATGAACAGGACAAACAAATGGACATGGACAATGGACTAGTGGTTATTGAAAGGGAGTGGGGAAGGAGAAGGGAGAAAATTTTTAAAAATGTAAAAAAATTATGTATATATAGTATTAAAAAATAATAAATAAACTGGCGTTTAAAAAAAAAAGTGAACACAATCATATTGAATCCTCCAGCTGTAAAAAAGTGTTTCAACTCATGACCTATCCACACAGGTGACTCTTTTTCTTCCTTACAGGGTGTGAATATGAGGTACGAGAGACACAGGTAAAGGATGCCACATTTTCATGACTGCTAAAAATGTATGATTACAGTCTGGATTTTGGACGTTTGCACACAAAGTACTGATTAGTCAGTTGTGCAAGGCCACAACTGACTTAAAAAAAAAAAAAAAACCTTCAAAAGACTTGCTTTTCTTTCAAAATTGTCATGAAACATTTTCTAATGTAATTCCAAGGAGTGCAATGGATTATGGGTGCTTAGCAGGAAGGAAATGCACGAACGTTTTATTAATTTTGGGTCATATGTAATGCTTTAAATTAACAGCAAGGGGCTAAAGGCTTTTGTTTGTTTTTGTTTTTGTTTTGTTTTTCTTTTTATTACAGTGATAAAGAACTCTGGTGAGGTGAGGGTCACTTGAGATATACTGTTAAAAATGAGGGGTAGAAACATATAAATGAATGGTATCACGCGGCATACATTTTCCTGAAAAAGTAGTCTCCATGCATGAGAATTAGATATATACCTACAATAAGAGGGCGTATTGACCTATAATTTTCAATATTACATCCTTGTATTTTTTTATTACATGTTATTTTTCAACTAGTAGAGGAGAGAGGAACACGGTCTCATAAAACTAATATTTATTCTTCCATGTTTATAGAGCTAGTAGAGATTTCAGGAAATGAGAAAGTCTGAGAAGTCAAATATAACTTGGTGTCCTGTGCACAAAAGAAGACAGGACAGGAAAATCACCATGTTTAAAAAAAAAATCTGGCTCAGGAGCTCGGTCACAAAACTTTAAAAAATTAAATAGCCCAAGATAAGGAAAGCCTTTGATATTATTATTTCTCTCTCCATAAATGTAGCTCTTTAATAGATGATAAATCTTATCATGTAAGACTCTTTATTTTACTAGAAAGCCCAGCAAAGATCCCTTTAATCCAGTTTTCAGTTTCGACCCTGCTCCTGACAGGTGTATTTCGTGGAGGCTGAGGCAGACAGTAAGTAAAATCCACTCTAACAACCCTGACGCCCCTACTCAGAACTGTACCTTTAAGGCATGAATTCTTAGTTTGTTATTAAGTAACCTTTGTACTAGGGAATTCAATGCATTCTTACAGTAAATTCAAAGAATATAGTAGTGAATGAGCATTTGTTCTTCCATGAACTGGTGGTACCTCTATAATGAGACATATCTCAAGAGATCGGAGCTTTTCATAAAGCTTCTGGGGGAGAAATTTCCCAAAGCTCGATTGTTTCTAAGTCCTTTCCCTGTAATGCATAACTTTACTTGACACTTTGGAAGGGTCCGGAGAGATAAAAGCCATCCAGTCATTTCCCTCCTTGCGGAGGCATGACGGACAAAGTGGTGACCTCCGACAAGCAAGCGAGGGAGAAGAGGAGAGGCTGGCGGAGCTCGAGAGGGGGAGGCCAGGCTGTGGCTGCAGGGAGACAGGCAAGGGCCCTGTGGCCTCCCACGAACTTCCGTGACACGGAGGAGAGGGCAGAAACTAGGACGCCTGGTGAAAAGCCAGCGAAAATGCACTTCCTGTGCTACTTACCATTTTCCGTTTTCTCTCAGATTTCTCCCCTTTGCTCTCTCGGTGACTGAGCTGGCACCTGCCCAGCGCCAGTGCCACCATCTCATCTCCCCCGGGATCCGGGCCCTGTCTTCTCCCTCCGTCTCCAGGGCTGTCCTCTGTCTGCTATGTCCCTGCCCTGCGTTCCGATATCGCCTTTCTCGTATGCACAGCGTACTACACAACGGCGATGCCCTCTCGGCGCCGACCCAGAAAGTCTGGTTCTCCAGAAAAGCCTCCATATAGGGGCGGTACTGTGCTTCTAAACAGCTGAAACGTAAATGTAAGCCCACGGTGGAGGTGTGATGGAGTGGGAGGGGACGGCGCCCAGAGCTAAAATCTCCGGTCTAGGCCCAGCCCCGCCCTTCGCTGGACCACCATGCTTTGTATTTTGAACTTGAACTTGAAGTGAGAAGTTCATCGTCTGGGGGTCCCGGTCCTTCCCCGCAGGTAAATGAGAAGGAGGGTTGAATCTGGTTATGGCAGTGACCGGGGGCTCACGGAGCTATTGGTCCCTGGGTCCTGGGAACCAGGCTATTAATCATTCTAAAATCATGGGACAATCTTGCATCATAAATGTCAATAGTGGCCCCATTGAGAAACACCATGATTTTTAATGCTCCTCCAACCGGTGTGGACTCTTAAACTTAAGTAGAATGTAGAGAACTTATGAGACTTGGGAAAGAGCTGTGAGAATAAATTATTTGTGGATTATAAAGTTTCACAGGGAAAAAGAAAAAAATTGGGTTTATCTCTCCTGAAGAGAAAAAGGGAGACTCGAGTATACGATGACACAGGGGAACTCTGACCAGTAAATGTCCTGTCTCCATGGAAGAAGAAATAACTTGCCATGCCAGGGGGCTGGAAATTACTTAGGCTTTCTTGACAGCAAGGTTTTGAAGAAGGAGAATCTACATCAGGTTGCAAAGGAAAAGTGGGTGCCTACGTGTGAGGTTTTGAAAACAAATAGATTCTCGTGGGTCTTAGAAAGTTCAAGCGAGATCTTGCTTGTAGACCAGGGAGGAATATTTACGTAGCTTCTCAAGTTCCTTCTAGCGTTTCTGTTTCTATGGACACATTTATTAGGTTTCCACACACCACGACATTCCACCGAATTGGCGGAATGGGGAGCCGAAGATGGAGGCTCAGTTGCCGCCCGCGGTCTCCCCTAAACCTACCGCTGGCCTCACACTTCAAGGGCAGCGAATCGTGAGGCCCAGCCGTGAAGGGAGCCGAGGGAAAACCGCAGTCCAGCCCAGCCCTGCAGTAGAATCTACTTTGATTTCTCAGAAGAAATAAAATACTATTAAAAAACACAGTAAAGGGCTGTTAGGGGAGAAAATATTTGTCACCATGGACAGAATAAAAGTTCTCTCAAATGAAATAGACGCGTGTGGAGAAAGGCCTGTCATTCTAGAGGAAGCACTTGTGCCGCTTCTCCCTTCTCCTCACTCAGGGTCTGTCCGATAACTGTATGGAGCTGGATCCTCTCTCCTGCTTATTTTTCCACCCGTGAAAGATGCGTGGATCGAAACGACCCTTTGGGAAGGTTTGATCGGAAAGCGCCTTCAGAATAAAAGTGTTTTCCTCGCGCCATCTCAACAGCCAAACGGATGCTTCTCAAACTGCTTCGCGACGAGCTCTCGCCTTGAGTCAGCAACTATATTGCTAATAATTTTTCGAGCCGTTAATATCCACGCGTTAAAAGAAACGACAACGGCCCTGTTCCACCGTTGTAAGTCAGAGGGTGAGTGGCCCTTGGTGGAACTAGATGAAAACACCCTGGCCCCTTGGGACTCTACGATTTGAAAAATGTCATAATGATAATGCCCATCGTTATCGACCAATGCGGTTCTGATTTTCAATATTTCAAAATCTAATTCATCCACAGGTCTCGACTAATTGAAAATACTTAACAGAATCTGATATATGTTGACACGCAGCATAAATTTATTGGATCTGTTCAGTTAGAATTTACGAATGCAAAAATAAAATTTGTTCTAAGCCAATGTGGAGAGTATTTTATTGCTAATATTGTTGTAACATCCCACGGGGTATACAATAATAAATACGAGAAGTAGTATATCAAATTCCTGTTCATTGATATCCCTCTCCCAACAAAATCAAAGGATTACAGTCTGTGCTTAATCTACTGCCAGGGTTCTTATTGCAATAGCACATGATTATCACCCGTTTTTTAAAAGACTCCTCGAAATTAATAATACCTTCAGTGAGAGAAATGGAAAAAATTAACACAAACCTTAAGACCTCCAGCAGATCAGATGACAAATATGTTCTTTGGGAACGTGGATGAAACTGTATTCACAAAAGTCTCTTAAGTGGACGCTGGGCACGCAGGAAGTCCCTCGGAAGACAGTGCGGCTGTGACATGCCAGGTGCTCCTGGAAGGAGAGGAAAGCGTGCCCGTGGGGTACGTGCAGAGGACCGTGGTGCCAGTCTCGGCCATCGTGCCCAGAGCACGCTGCATTAGCACGTACCGCTATTATTAAAACGATGGTCTTAATTCCTGTTAATTTTGTAACCCCCTGAATCTCTGTATTCACAAATGGCAGAGTGGGGAACAGTCGACTGTATTTAGAAATTTCTACCGGTCGAAAGCATTTTGTTGACTAAGCAAACTCCGTTTTTACTTTTACCTACACCGGTCGGGACTGGGGAACTGTGCACGGGGTGGGTCCCCAGGTGGCGACGCTCACACCTACTGAGCGCCCACGGCTCAGGGCATCGTGTGCAGGGCTGATTAATCTGAAAACGCCCCTGTGACTGGAGAGTGGCAGGTCCATTTCACAGAGGAGAAGACTGAGGCCCAGCCAGGCTCGGAACCGGGTCTATCGAAGCCCAGAGGCCTCAGGTCTGACTCTCCCCCATTTCACTCTGCGGCCCAGGTGACTTAGAAAAATATTTCACCAACGGTATTGACAAGAACACAGATAATGCTGCGATATACTGAATCAATTCAAATATCACCAAAGTAAGTAAGGCATTGTTTTTCTTCACTTGCTTTAGTTTTATACCAAATACTGTCTCTTGTTGAGTCAGGCCTCACAGAAACACAGACACCCGGCTTGAAGGCGTGCGCGTCCTCGCCCGTCTGCCTCCCATAGGCGAAGAGAGAAAACTCACAGGAAACCCAGCGGCTCCCTGGGGTCACGGGGCAGGTCTGGCGCTGTGCTCCATCAAGGGCAGCAACGCAAACATCTCTCCTTCCTTGGGTCCCTCTACACGACCCACAGTTCCTTCCCTCCCCGTGAAAGAGAACACCCATCAGCTTTGCCCAAGGGCTTCCTGTGGCCATCACTGGACGCCATCACTGTATGTCCTCACGGCCATCTCTGTCTTAACAGCCCAGAGTGGCTGAGCCAGGCTCTGCAGGGCTCCGTCTGGATTTCTGTTCTTACTTTTAGTCAAACAGCTACATGCTTCAGGTGGTTCCGGGGCCAGCACAGCTCACCCCCAGAACCCACTCCCACAGTGCGTTCAGCATCACTGACCTCCAATCACTCACGTCAAAATTTCCCTCAAAGTTTCTGCTTTTAATGCCACGGACTTCTGCTCGAGTCTGGGAACTGGTAGCTCATTTCCACCCTGCACGTGGAAAGGCCAGAGAATGATGAAGGAGGAAGGTCACGTATAACTTGTCGATTTTTTTCTTTTATTTTATATTTGGCACCAAAAGCTTAAGTCATGAATCAAGAAACAGAGAAAGATGATTGACAGCATTTTTGAGTCTGCACGCCTGTAGCCTGGGATTATGACGTGGGGACAAAAGGAAAGAAAGAACAAAACCAAACGGAGCCAGTTTATCCTTACGTAAGAGGAGGAAAAAGAGCTTGCCAAAGAACGGGGGGGAAGTATCTGGACTGTAGAATCTAACCTAAATGACAGAAATACAAGATAAATAGAAACTCTTCCTAAAACCTCATTTATTAGCATTCTGTTTTCTTTATATCATTTAAAAGCAAAGTTTCAGGTTATATGCTTAACCTCGTAGGCCCCTTTTCCCATAAAATCCGAATAGCAATTGTCAAGTATTCACTCAGCCACCATTTATTCCTTACTTATTAGTGAATCAGTGAGTCAGAAAATTCCAGGAATACTGAACTAAGCAAGATAGTCTTTCCCTGAAGCATCTTAGTGCCTTGGAGGGGCACAGGACTAGGATATCGAAATTTATGAAGAGGAGGAACTAATAAATGTTTGAAAGAATTGGGGTCTCCCCCCGGACTGCCTGGAGGTGTTCCTGTTTCATATTACCGGCTATATGACCTGGGTCAAGGAACTTACACTGTTTAACCTCAGCTTTTTCATCTGCAAAGTGCAGAAATGATATACTTCTGGGGTTTGTGAGCATTAAGTAAGATAACCAAGAAAAAGCCCTTGGTACAACCAGGGGCACGTGGAGAGAACTCATCGAATGAAAAAGTAGCAGTCACGTTGTAGGACAGGGCATGATGCAGTCGGTGAGGCAAGAAGTGCCTCGAAGCTTCCGAGGGTTGTAGGTCCCTTCCATGGTGGACGATGGGAATCCAGAAGACTGTTACTGCCCTCCAGCAGGACGCTAACACTCAAGATCAACCGTAACGGACCCGGCACAAGTGATCAGGTGTTTACTGATCCTCTGCTGATAACTGAAAAGCTAGAAAATGAGCTACTTTAGAAAACAAAATAGGCCCCATGAAATTGGACGTTATTTTCCAGGATTTGGTGTGAGAGCAGATAACGCCCCTGCCAGAGAACTATGAAAAGAAGAACATGTATGTACTGCTACGAAGAAAAATATAACAGCCCACTGGGTCCTCTCCAACTGTGAGGCGAGAGGACACGATGGCTTTTAATGGAAATCGCCAAGATCTAGACACACCATTTTGAAACCTAGCCTCAAATTTAAATCCCAGGGCTTGCAATAGGACATCGTAGTGTCTGCATTACTGATGCCTTTCTAGTAAGTCTGGAAATCAGGGAGTGAGGGTCCCCCCATGTTGTCGCTCTTTTTCAAAAAGGTTTGATTTGATAAAAAAAAAAAAAGAGAGAGAAAGAGAAAAAAAAGTTTGCTTCTTATAAGTTCTTATATTTCTATATAAATTGTAGAACCAATTCGCCTATTTCCACCAAAAATTTAAAAAAGCACATACGTGCACGCGCAAACACACACACACACACACACACACACACACACACACACATGCACATACACACACACACCCCCTTTTGAGACCATATTAAAAACCAAAATCCATATATTACTTTTGGAAAAACCAACATCTTAACAATACTGAGTCTTCTATTCTAGAATATGGTCTAACTCTCCGTTTATTTAGGCCATCTTAATTTTTTATCAGAACTGTTTTATAATTTCCAGTGTATAGGTCTTCTTTATTTAAGTATATGGTTTTGATAACATCGTAAATATTGTTTTTCATTTCATTTTCCAATTGTTTCTTGGTGTATAGAAATGAAATCGATAGATTATGGATTCCTCCAAGGCAGAATTTATATCTTAAAACTCACTGTTCCCATAGCATCTATCACAGTCATTTAACATTAAATAATAGTTATGAGATTATTGATTTGTCCATTCAGCGGGTCACTTTAACCATTTATTGCTGATGAGCTTGAACCATCTTATAGTGCCAGGAAGCACGGAAGTGTTAAAAATAATGAAAAAAAAAAACAAAAAAACAAAAAAAACGAACTAAGATCGGGCATGTTGAAAGGCACAGGAACCGACCTAAAAGAGCTCCCAATGGCAAAATGAAAACAATTTGAGAAACAAAACAAATAATGATAATATTAGATTATATAACCTGAAGAATAAAATAAATATTTATGAGTCCATAATGATATAAATAAATGATTGAATAAATAACTAAATGGGAAAGGAGAGACATGTCTTCTTTACAGAATTCAAATGGAAAATAGAAAGGAGGGAAATAGAAAATAATTAGAACACCAATAGTAATTGCTACAGGCAAGATCCAATGATGAATACTAAAATCAGTGGGTGAAAATTTGAGGAAGAGTTAACTAGCCTCAAAGTACCCCCCCCACCACCAAATATTTATTAATTACTCTGGTCGTTTTAACATATATCCAATATTCTTTGATACTCTTCTACGCAGGAGATATAACTTAATTTTTCTTCCCTTAACCGTGTGTTAGACTTAGTGACTTGCTTGAAATGAACGTAATATAGAAAAAGAAAATAGTAACTGTAAAGAAACTTGGCAGATATTCCTTAATCAAGTGATCAAGGTTCACAGCATCCATTAAAGTCATGTTGATATCATATACCTTTTATACGATGAAAAGGGTACTTCATCTCTGTGGTATCCTTCTCTAGAATCCAAAAACCTCTTCCAACGTTAACAAAACATCAGAAAGAAAACTGAGGGCTATTCTGCAAAATTTCCGACGAGTACTCTTCAAAACTGCCAAGATCATGAAGAACAAGGAAAACCTGTGACAATGCCACAGACTGGAGGAAGCTAAGGGGACGTGACCCTAGTGGTACCCTAGTCTGGATCCGAGAACAGAAGAAAAAGCAGAATTGAAAAACTGGTGAAGTCTGAGTAAAGTGCGGAGTCTAGCTAATTTGTACTATACCGACGTTAATTTCTTAGTTTTGATGAATGTACCGTGGTTAGGTAACTGTGGTACCACAGGTATTAAGATAAGCTGGGGGAAGGGTAGACAGGACCTCTGTGTATTGTCCTTGTAAATCTAAAATTATTTGTTAAATCTTAAATTATTTCTAAGTGATGTTTTTTGTTTTTTGTTTTTTTTTAATTAAAATCAATCTATTGTATCATTCCACACATTCATATTTGGATAGAAGTCTGTCCTCCTTGTGTCTGTATTAATCATTGAACTTATGCTCCCTTTTGTGAGATACAGTCTAGAGTAGTTTGGATTTATAATTAAACATAACTGAATTTTATAAAATGACCTAAAGGAGAACAATTTATTAGTAACGTTATAGTTCGTTAGTGATATTATGGCTGTTAGAAATAGCCATAACAACTATTTCCAAGAAGACACAGGGCACCACAAGGGAAGAAAATAATCAAAGTTAGCGTACATAACCACTCGTACATCAAAAATAATGAAGGTAAAACTGACTCTTAGAAAATGAGTAAGTAGAAGAAACACAGCTGTCCTTTAGTAAGGTAAGACCAAATTATTTCACATCTTCACTTCTCAAACAGCTGTAAGAAGACGTGAGATTTATCCTGGTTCTGGATGTTTCCAGGATATTTCAAGATGGCAAACTGGTCACATTGGCTTATCCCATGCCTTCTCAGGTTCCCTTTAATACTAAAGTCAAGAGGACAAATGGTTTTAACTCTACAAAACCAAAGCGAACGGGAATGAATGAAACATT